TATTTTCATATTTTAGCATACAATAATTTGTTTAGGCTTATCTTATTTTATTTCGAGGCTGTAAAGTAGTTTCAAAAAAGGTTTATGAAAACAAAAACCACTTTCACTTAAGGGGTTATCCGGGTCTTGACACTCCAAAAAATTCATTTGTTTCAAACTTTTTATATAATAGTACAAAGTGTCAGGAATGTTGTCCGAAAATTTCAACTCGATCGAAGCAAAACTAGGAATGGGAGAAATTTAAAGCCCAGCGCGTCGAATGAGTCGCAACTGGCAATGCGGACTCTGGCGTCTAGTAGGTGCGGCACGCAGAAGCGGGTAAACGACGCCCCTTTTGTGTCCGCTTTAAAACTTTAAACGCGTTTTTCTCAAAACCACTTTTTTGAAGTCGGTTTTCTCAAAAACTATCTTCAATTACAACTCATTTTATAAGCCAAAATATGGCCATAATGTACGTAAAAAAATAATCTTTTTATGAAAAGCGCTACATATCGGTATCGGGCAATGCTATATATCGATTGAAAGGTCATGACATAACCTACAAAACGACGCTATTCATAACAAGTTTGGTTAATGCGTTGAAAAGTTATTCATGTGTAAACATGGAGTTCGCTAACGCTGAAATTCGCGCTGTTTTAAAGTTTTCCTTCGTAAAAGGTAAATCTGCTAGAGAAATATTCCGTGAGATTAATGGTGTTTTAGGGGTTGGTACTCTATCATTTGACGCATAAAAACCTGTTGGACAGAATCAACGCCTGCGATATGCTGCTGAAACGGAATAAACTCGACCCATTTTTGAAGCGGATGGTGACTAGCGACGAAAAATGGATCACATACAATAATATCAAGCGAAAACGGTCGTGGTTGAAGGCCGGTGAATCGTCCAAAACAGTGGCCAAGCCGGGATTGACTGATAGGAAAGTTTTGCTCTGTATTTGGTGGGATTGGAAGGGAATTATACACTATGAGCTGCTCCCATACGCCCAGACGCTTAATTCTACCATCTACTACGAACAACTGGACCGGTTGAAGCTGGCGATCGACCAGAAGCGACTAGAATTGGCCAACAGGAAGGGTGTAGTGTTTCACCAGGACAACGCCAGACCACCATATAGCCCGGACATAGCGCCAAGTGACTACCACCTGTTCCTGTCCATGGCGAATGCCCTTACTGGTGTAAAGTTGGGTTGTGAAAAGTGGCTGTCAGAGTTTTTCGCAAACCAGGAGGAAAGTTTCTACGAGAGGGGCATTTTGAAGTTGCCGTCTCAATGGGAACACATTATCGAACAAAACGGTGCATATTTTAGCTAAATCCGTTCACTGTATCAATTTTTATAAAGCATTGAAAAAAGAGGAAAAACAAGAGAGAACGCTATAGTCGGGTGCCCCGACTATCAGATACCCGTTACTCAGGTAAAGGGAGTGCGAGGGAGATGGAGATAGAAATTTGATCACGCATAACTTTTTAACGAATGGTCCGATTTGAAAAAATTTCTTCTACATTTCGATAGGTATTGATAAAAACAATAAAACTGCATTTTTACTTTTCCGAAATATTTAAATTTTTAAAATCGTATATAAGCGATTGTGGGCGTTAAAGGGGGCGTGGCACCTTTTTGAAACAAACTTGCGCTGCGTAGGAACTCCTAGAATCTGCATGCAAAATGCCAATCTTCTAGCTTTTATAGTTTCCGAGATCTCAGCGTTCATACGGACGGACAGACGGACAGACGGGCATGGCTATATCGACTCGGCTAGTGACCCTGATAAAGAATATATATACTTTATAGGGTCGGAAACGCTTCCTTCTAGCTGTTACATACTTTTGCACGAATACTATATACCCTTTTACTCTACGAGTAACGGGTATAATGACTACCTAATATATAAATATATTAATTTGATTGTTAAAACATAACAAAATAAAAATTATAATTGTCTATGATTTTATTTGTTAGACGGTAACAGAGGGCGTTATCAATTTGATGTAAAATTAAATCTTAAATTCAAATATTATTTTTAAGTGTGTGTGTGCGTCAACTTCGTAACTGCATTATTTTATTTTGGGTCCACAATTTGGCTTATATGTTGTTGTTAAAGTCGACTAAATTAACCAAAATAAATCAGAAATTCCGAAATCTAGACCAGCAGCTTTATTAATTTTACATGTCATTTCTGTTTGTAAATCATTTCCAACTGGGTTGAAGCAAAGACCAATATAATCTCTAAGATGCGTAACGCCATACGATTTTTTTGCACACGAATTTTTTGTGCTGGCTTTTCAACTGGCTTTTCGGTCTCTTGCCCAAAAGCCAGCGAGAGACCGCTCTAGAGCCAGCCGCTCTCTTGCACGCATACTGCAACAGCCGACGACTGTATGTGTGCTCATGTATTCACAAGGAAAGAAATTCGATGCAGCGCGCTGTCGAAATATACTCTTTATTTTAAAATTATAACATTATTAAAAATACTTAGTTTGTATTTCCTTAATATGATATTTATTCGAGTGTAGAATATTTTTTAGTAATGACCAAATATATCTACGTATATAAAGATACATAATTTATTTCATACATGACTTCACATTGGAATAATTGTCATTAGGGTATTCAGCGTGCGACGTGTGAACGATTTTTAGGAGCCTCAGAAATTTTGCGATTGAACAGGAGAATATTTTTATATTATTGTATATGGATTTAAAAATATGTGGTATTTTTATACCCTTGGAGAGGGAATTATAATTTCAGTCAAAAGTTTGCAACGCAGCGAAGGAGACATTTCCGACCCTATAAAGTATATATATTCTTGATCAGCATCACCAGGAGAGTCGATCTAGCCATGCCCGTCTGTCCGTCCGTCCGTTGCTACGCAAACTAGTTTCTCAGTTTTAAAGCTATCTGCTTGAAACTTTCCCAAAAGTTGTCTTTCTATTGCATGTAGTATATAAGTCTGAACGACCCGATCGGGAGACTATATCATATAGCTGCCATATAACTGAACGATCGGAAAAGCCATAACGTTGGTGTTTTTAAAGTTAGGAAGTTGGGACTTTTTATGAGTATTAAGAATACATCATATGAATAATTTTGAAGAATATAATTTACAGAATATTCTGCAATGGTATATCAATTTCGGCTCCGTCCGTATATAAAATTATTATCATAATATAATATAAATTTATATAAGTATTTGTATATTAACTATTTTAATTATTTAGAAAAAAGAAAAACCCAAAGGGGAAACAAAATAGGTTTGCGCACTTTTCTTTCCAAAAAAGCTTCAAATCAAATTTAAAAGGCACAAAATCATTAAACCAAATTTTATTTTCATACGAAATACTAAAAATGGATAACTTATGTACATATATAAAATGTACTTGTATTATATTTAAATATACTCCAAAGGTAGCTAAATTTTGAAAATTAAACCTACCCTGTTAAAATAAATAATGAATATTTGTATATGTATTTGTATATTAACTATTTTATTTATTAAATATACTAAATAATTAAAATAGTTAATATGTTTAATATTCTATTAAACTGATTAAATAATTTAAATAGTCAATATATTAAATATACTATTAAATAATAAAAATAAAACTGTTTGAATAAATATGAAAATAAATGCATGTTGATAATATTAGATATGATGTTATTCGTATTTACTTTAAATATTTTAAGTCATTAAATCAAAGTTTAATATATTTGAGTAAAAATTAAATTAAATATTTCAAATTTAAAGTTAATAAAAACAGCCATAGATAAAAAATAAAGCGAAATATGTTTAATCAAATATCCTTTAAATATATTAATTTAAATAAACTTCGCTTTGTTTTTGTTTAACAATCATAGTATATTCAAATATATTAAACTTTATTAAAATATTTTAAAATTTAATCAAGTAGTTTTATATGTTCTGTACTAAAAGTTATGTTTCTAGCTTTAATTTAAATATGTAAAACGAAACTATGATTTAAATATGCAGATATTCGTTTTTAAGGTATATAAAAAAGATTTACATCAAGCTTCATTGCCATATATACATAAATGCAATTTAAATAATCATCCTGTTCAATCATAGAAGTTCTTTTGACACACAATTAGTTTCTTAGTCCAGAAATGATTTCTGGACGAAAATCGTCTTCTCGAACAAATACGCACACATACGCACTTCTATTTTTAGATTTTTACGCTCTCAACTTTGTGCGAGCGGAGAGACCGGAATTTTCGTCGCCACCAAAAAACGAGCTGCATATTGCAAAACCAATGTATGGGCGTTACGCATCTCAGAGATTATACTGGTCTTTGGTTAAAGGCTAGCCAGTCTGGTCAGTTAAAAATTTTTGTAAGAGCTTTTATCAACAATATCTTTCTAAGTTGAGCACCCAACTCACATTCAGTAATAGGTGTGCTGAATTGGCTTTGCATGGTGGTTAGTTAGGCAAATCAAAATAAATAAATATAAATATTGCTTTATTGCCTGAAACTTTTTGGTAGGAACAACTTCGTTAAGGAAAACAAATTTTACAGTTTTTTCCTAAAAAGAGAGTTAACAGCAATCCACAGACACACTTTGGTTTAAAGACTAGTAAGCCAAAAAAAAATTTGTTTGTAATGCTTACATTTGTTTAATGGATTAAGGCGAAAAAGCTAATATATGGCAAATTATTTGTTGACTTTTAAGCTCTGTGCTTGTATAGAAATTAATGTAAAAGTGTTATATTTTGTTCTAAATAGCCATCCATTTCCTATCCACATAAACATATTATTATACTCGTCAAACTGGCCAGAAACTGCGCAGAATGTCGATTTGAATGGAACCGAAAAATGTGACAAGGTAATCTATGGACAATTCTACGCAATACGATGAAAAACTTTGTCTCTTAAACAATGATCGGCGATCGTAGTTTGAGATATTTCGGAAGAGAATTCAAAAAATACCAGAGTTATTACTAATCGTACTAGACAAAGTATTCTTTATTTACATTTATTTTGCAGTTTTGCGATTGGTGTAGCTAATATTGGAGCTACCGCCATAGCTGAAATTCAATTTGCGGACTACATATTTCCGAGCTTTGATCAGATAATAAATGAAGCTGCCAAATATCGATACCGAAGCGGTGGCCTCTTTGACTGTGGATCTTTAACTTTTAGAGTTCCTTGTGGTGCTGTAGGTCACGGAGCATTATACCATTCTCAAAGTCCAGAAGCATATTTCGCTCATACCCCGGGCCTTCGTGTTGTGGTAATTTTGGAATATAGATGGAAACTCGAAATTATAGATTTTAATTGCTCATATATTGTTCAAAAAAGGTTCCTCGTGGACCGATAAAGGCGAAGGGTCTTCTCCTTGCATGTATTCGTGATCGAAATCCTTGCATCGTTTTCGAGCCTAAAACTTTGTATCGAGCCGCTGTTGAGGAAGTGCCAATGGAATACTACACCTCGGAACTTGGCAAAGCTGACATACTGCGGCATGGAAAAGATGTTACACTTGTTGGCTGGGGTACACAAGTCCATGTGTTATTAGAGGTACGTGCTAGACATTTTAAAGGTTTTTCTTTTATTAAACAATATTTGGGTTTATAGGTAGCTGAACAGGCGAAAATGAATTTGAATATCGATTGTGAAGTTATTGATTTGGTTTCTATTTTGCCATGGGACACTAATGCGATATTTACCGTAAGTAACTAAAATTAAAAAAGATTAAATATTAATCATTTACTCTTAAATTTAGTCTGCAAAAAAAACGGGACGAGTTATAATTGCCCACGAAGCTCCGTTAACACAGGGGTTCGGATCCGAACTAGCATCTCAAATACAAGAAAAATGTTTTTTGCACCTCGAAGCACCTGTGAAGCGAGTGACTGGATGGGACACACCGTTTCCCCATGTATTCGAGCCTTTTTATTTGCCTGATAAACACCGATGTTTGTCAGCTATTAAGGAAATTGTTATGTACTAGGACTACGTTTTACACTCTTGGGGCAGTTTTTTTGCCTGGTCATCTAAGCAATTTCATACGTTTTCTTATACCATGGAAATGAGAAAACGATCCCTAAGATATGCCAAATTGAAATATGTAACAACTAAAATGGAACCGAATGCATTTATTTACATTTTTTTTAATAGATCCTGTTATTCATTATAAAAATAAAAAAAATTTTTTTTGGAATTCTAGTATTTCAAGTCTATATCAATACAAATTAAATCTACAAATTTTATTTCGTAGTGTTAGGAATCTGGAACAATTCAGCTCAGCTGGCCGCATTTTTTTATTGAGTGAGAATATGGGCAAACGGCAAAACGGAGGGAAGTAAATATTGGACGTTATTAATTCAAATTGCAATGCAGAGCGAGGCCTAGACAGTTACAGTTTTTCGATTATATAAGTACCGGTCCAATCGACATACGTCGATTTCCGCATAACATAAAAGTGGCCCAGAACTTCATTGATTAGTCACAGCTTAAGAAGGACAACATTTACCCATAAACACCTAACACTATTTAAGCAGGTAAGTTGGTTGACATTTATTTTTGTTGAATACACTTTCGTCAGCCAGTTACAGGTACTTAAACAAGATTAGTGTTTAGAATATAACCATTAGTGAGGCCGCGAATAAAAATCCGATATAAATCAATCATGTTCGATCCTCAAGAGGCTCTTGCAAGTGGCCGAAATGGGATAAATGACCCAAAACAAGTGAAACTTTGGCTCCAGCGGACGACTATAAAAGGAATTATAAACCAACGTGAAACGTGGGGATTGACACTTGGTGAAAGCGCAGAGAATTAGTCGTACTGGACTGTATTTTGTAGCTTTTAGAGTATTTATTTTACTTAAACACAAAAAAGGGATGTTTACTGTCGAGACAAATCCGCAATCTTAACTCCTTCTAATAAACAGACGATATTGCGTACATTTCCAATGTAAAAGTCCATCATATCACAAAACGCTGTCCTAAATCAAATTGCTGATTTTCGATAGAAGTAACAATGCATTAACAAACCTTTTTACGACCATCGACAAAGTTAAATGTATTTACTCAATTGTCTGTGGCCAGCTTTAGAAGGCTTGCAGACATTTTAAGGGGGTATGGTATTTAAATTTTTGTTTTTTTTTTTTTCAATTTTTTTTTCTGGATGCACAACATTTGAAGAATATTGGCTTACAATTTTAGATTGATCCGCATAAAACCGAAGTTATGGATATTATTATGTTGAACGTAGGTAAGTTAGCTCGGTTTGAATTCAATTTTTGGGTGTCCAAAACTTTAAAACTCTCTCTTGAAAAGTTGCCATTTCAAAATCGGTGTACACGATCCTGCAAAATCTACTGGACGAATCGTTTTGAAATTTGCACAGTTCTTCTTTACTAAATTCCTTAGGTAATGCTGTCGAGTTTTTTTTGTTTTTGGCACAATTTATTATTATTACAATAACAAATAACTCGGATTTTTGGGCGAAAATCGAGGTTTTTGACTTTCAAGTGCCTCACTTACAGTGGCTCACAGCTTATTTCGTCCAGACCTAAAATTGAAATTAAAACTCATATAGCTGGCAAGCCATACGGATTATAAAAAAGATTTAAATGCAGTTATGTTTTGGTAGTATTTTTTTAATTTATTAAGGCTTTTCAAAATTTGTAAACGCTGTTAGAACACCTCTGAGAAGATTTCCAATGGAGGAAACTTATTTTATAGTGGTCTCCACTTCCAAGATTACACTTTTTAGGTAATTTTTGCTAGATAAATTCCTCTTCCTTATGGCTATGTCCGATATTTTCCATAAATTCACATTCAAGTCTGCGGTGATACCGATACCGATACTCCTAATTATACCATTGCAGAGGGAAGGGTCAAGAGTTAGCAACGCACTGAAGGAGACTATAAATTATTTATTAACTTGATCAGCATCACCAGGAGAGTCGATCCGTCCGTTTCTACTCAAACTAGTCCCTCAGTTTTAAAGCTATCTGCTATCCCTAAAGTGGTTTTTCCTTTGCAGGTAGTATATAAGTCGGAACGATCCGGATCGGTCGACTATAACATATAGCTCCCATAGGAACAATCGGAAAAATAATTTTAATTTTTGTACTTTGCGATTTGGTAAGATCACCATAGAGTAAGAATCTAAACAGAGGTTTCATTTGCTCTGCCCGCACCTCTGCCAAAGCTATGCTGAGAGCCATGTTCAAAGCTAATTTCGATTTCTCACCACTCCTAACATGTGCGAAGCACAAGCAATAGTATGGGGAGTTTTCGCACCAATCTTTAAAAATAAAAGCGTCCAGTGCAGCAACAAGTATTCACTACGGGACTCGATTCCAGTTCGATCGAACAAATGAAAAACTCTCTTTTTTTCCGTTTTTCCCCTACGAGGCATCGCTGGCAAAGTCACTCGAGAGCGTGGGCAGAGCAAATGAAACCTTTATATAGATTCTTAATCTATGGAGGAAGTTTATACATTATGCCATCTTCCCACAGAGATATCCCACCATCCGTTAAACGGGTGGTCAATAAGGTTTTGCCGTTCCGAAAATTCCAAGTTAGTTTCCCATCCAAAATTGACGAACTTTTTTATGCGATAGTTAGGCGATGTTTTTGGTGCAACTCTGAGTTCACCTTCTTGACAGTGCAAAATTGCAACATTCACTACGAAAATTTAAAAAATAATTGCGGATAACTTTTCAAAAAGGAAGGCGCCAAATCAAAAAAATCTGTTTATACTTGTAATAATTAATTAATTACTTCTCCATCCGTGTGACAGCATTAGGAGTAGCTCCACTCTCCACTGTGGACGCCAATGACATGGAAGCCTCTGCAGCGGAAGTCAACGCTCAGGCAGCTCTGCGGCCCCCGCAAGGTGGACCACAAGGCCGAGCTTGTGTCATTGCATGGAGCTTGGTTGTCCTTAACATTAAAAATAAAATTAAATATGAAATTATAATAACATAAAAAACAAACATTTCGTAAGTTTCGATGACTTTGCCTAATGAATCGCACATGAGTTGTGTAGTAGTACTTGTACAAGGAGTGACGATACAAGTGCGAAATGGATGATGCAATAGGACACGCATCTGGTGAACAGAATTCACACACCACGGGATTGGGAGCAGGTTCTGTTGGAAACGCAGGATGCAGCTTCACTGGGCCATTCAGAGGTTTTGAGGACGAAAATGTATCCGGACCAACTGTGATTTACTTGAACAAGTTTGTGTCGCTTGAGAATGCAAGCACACCGATTATGTTTAATCATGCCGGCTACGACGCTTCCCATAATTGGGCACACACCGCCACACCTTCTTATACGGAAAAGAAAGCGACGCCTGAATTTATACCGAACGCATTTTCTTATGCGAATCCTCAGGGAAACAATGCATATACCGCAGCGCAATGCGTACCGCCATGTAACACTGTCGGATTCATGCCACACCTTATACGGAAAGGAGAGCCACTACTGAATTTATACCGAACGCATTTTCTTATGCGAATCCGCAGGGAAACAATGCAGGTCAGTTTATGCCGACATATACCGCAGCGCAATGCGTACCGCCATGTAACACTGTCGGATTCATGCCACCAAACAATGCACCAATATCTGTACATCCAAATGGTGCGGAAGGGTTCATTCCGCCAGCCAATGGGCTGGGTTTTGTACCAAAAAGGCATTTCAAAAACTGACGAAATATCGGTAAACATAATATTTATACCCTTGCAGAGGCTATTATAATTTTGGTCAGAAGTTTGTAACGCAGTGAAGGAGACGTTTCTGACCCTATAACGTATATATATCTTGATCAGCATCACCAGGAGAGTCGATCTAGCCATGTCCGTCTGTCCGTTTCTACGCAAACTAATAACTCAGTTTTAAAGCTATCTGCTTGAAATCTTCCCAAAAGTTGTCTTTCTATTGCAGGTAGAATATAATTTGAAAAGAGCCGGATCGGGAGACTATATCAGATAGCTCCCATGCGAACAATCCGAAAAAAAAAATACATGCGTACCGCCATGTAACACTGTCGGATTTATGCCACACCTTCTTATACGGAAAGGAGAGCGACGCCTGAATTTATACCGAACGCATTTTCTTATGCGAGTCCGCAGGGAAACAATGCAGGTCAGTTTATACCGACATATACCGCAGCGCAATGCGTACCGCCATGTAACACTGTCGGATTCATGCCACCAAACAATGCACCAATATCTGTACATCCAAATGGTGCTGAAGGGTTTATTCCGCCAGCCAATGGGCTGGGTTTTGTACCAAAAAGGCATTTCAAAAACTGACGAAATATCGGTAAACATAATATGTATACCCTTGCAGAGGCTATTATAATTTTGGTCAGAAGTTTGTAACGCAGTGAAGGAGACGTTTCCGACCCTATAACGTATATATATCTTGATCAGCATCACCAGGAGAGTCGATCTAGCCATGTCCGTCTGTCCGTTTCTACGCAAACTAATAACTCAGTTTTAAAGCTATCTGGTTGAAACCTTCCCAAAAGTTGTCTTTCTATTGCAGGTAGAATATAAGTTGGAAAGAGCCGGATCGGGAGACTATATCATATAGCTCCCATGCGAACAATCCGAAAAAAAAATTTTATAAGTATAACTTTGTTGTTTTTTTTACCCTTGCAGAGGGTATTATAATTTAATGAAGGAGATAATTCCGACCCTATAAAGTATAAAGTATATATATTCTTGATCAGCATCACCAGGAGAGTCGATCTAGCCATGTCCGTCTGTCCGTTTGTCCGTCTGCCTGTCCGTCCGTCCGTCAATCAATCCGACCTACCAAATTTCATAAGGATCGGCCGACTATATCCTATAGCTGAAGTTTCTTTCAGCTTTCTTCCTTGTTCTTATTATTTTTCTTGCCCTATCACAAATTTTTATACTAAATCCACTTACCTTTTTTATATACAAAATTTAGAAATCACGCAAAAAATAATCAAGAACCACAACAAGAAATACAACCGGCACAAAACCAGTTGCCTGCATTGTACCCTGAAATGCCAGCCTAAGCATAGGCAACCCTTTTAAGGGTAGGGAAGTGATATATTCACATATTCATACCAAGAAATAAGAACTTTTAATGTAAACAATCCACATCCGGAGCAGGCGAAGACGCTCTTCAAACATTAACAATTCTTGCAATCACTAAGTGCCGAGC